AATACCGGAGTTATGTGGTCTCTCCTGGATGTTCTGGAGACCACTCTGCCTGCCATATTTTGTACTAGTTGAAGTTTCTAGACCAAGCATGAGGGTAGCCCAATGTAGAGCGCATTACAGAAATCCAGATGGGAGGTTACCAGCACGTGCACCACAGTTTTAAGATCCCTAACTTCCAGGAAAGGGCACAGCTGGCGTATCAGTCGAAGCTGATAACAGGCACTCCTGACCGTCGCATTTACCTGATTTATCATCTGAAGCGACAGGTCCAGGAGCACTCCCAGACTGCGAACACAGTCCTTTGAGGAGAGTGTGACCCCTATCTAGGACTGGGAGTTGTATCCTAATACCTGGGTTCGGGGCCGCTACTGTAAGTACCCCCGTTTTGTCTGGATTCAGTGTCAATCTGTTTTTCCTCATCCATCCATTACTGCTTTAAGACAATCATTGAGAGGGGAGACGCCATCTGAAGTCAAAGCTGAAGACCGAGACATGGAGAAATATATATTTTCTGGAAGAGTTAATTCCTGACATTTCGCCAGCTGCTATGGCTGGCATCTTCAGAGGATGCTGGCATAGAAGTGAGTGGGGTGCTGCTGCTGGGAAAACGTCAGAAATAAACTCTTCCAGAGCATGGCCACATAGCCTGAAAAAAATCACAAAAAACTATGGATGCCAGCCGTGAAAAAAAGCCTTCAACTTCACACTGCACATTTCTGTCTGTAGTCCAAAAGATATGCAAAGAAGAGAGTGGAAGCATTCTTTATTAACCTGAGTTGTGCTTTTCCAACAGAAGTTACTTGGAAATGGAAATGTCTCTCTCCCAGGAACAGATTCAGAAATACACAGATTGCCTCCAGTCATACGTGAACAGCACAGTCAAGGAGCTCCGGCGGCTTTTCCTGGTCCAGGACCTGGTGGATTCCTTAAAAGTATGTAGAGAAGAACCAAATGGATTGGCGACAGCTTGGACAGGCTAGAAACAAAAGCACTATGCCCTGATTCCCTTGTATGCATGGGTTGGAAGTGGGTGGTGTTTATAGTTTTTTGTGGGTTTTTCAGGCTGTGTGGCCATGTTCTAGAAGCGTTTCTTTCTGATGTTTCTGCTGGCAAAACATCAGAAAGAAACTCTTCTAGAACACGGCCACACAGCCCAAAAAACCCACAAAAAACTATGGATGCTGGCCATGAAAGCCTATGATTTCACATGGGTGGTGTTTGTTTGTTTGTTTGTTGAAAAACAGGTTTATAAACTTATAAGTGGCATGCAGAGAGTGTATTGAATATGGTCCATCTTTTCTCATACTAATAAAATCAGGGGTCCTGCAATGCAATTTACAAGTTTGGTACAAAATCCTGTGGGAGATTGAGGTCTTCATAAGTGGATTTATGTCCACAGGAATTAGAAATGGGTAGGAGAGCCAGCATACTGTAGTGGTTTAAGTGTTGGACTGTGACTCTGGAGACCAGGGTTCGAATCCCAGCATGGCCATGTAAACCCACTGGGTGACCGTGGGAAAGTCACACTCTCATTCTCAGAGGATGGCAATAGCAAACCCCTTCTGAAGAAACTTACCAAGAAAATCCCATGATAAATACATCTTTGGGTGCCACAAGTCAAAACGACTTGAAGACACCCAACAACAACAACAAAGTTCTGTAACATCCATATCCAGTAAGGGACTGCTGTTACATTACTACCTAGGAGAGCTGGCAAAGTGACCCATGTACATCAGTCTCATTGTGCTTTGGAGTGCAAGCTAAAGAGTGCCAATGTGCTTTGGTAAAGTTCAATGCACATCAAGATACTCTTGCCAGTGTTTTGTTATGCATCTTGGCAATTTACTAACAGGGTTCTTATTGCTTCTGCTACATAGCTAAGTGTATGTAATTTTATGTAAAGTAGACCCTAATAGGGGATTCCAGCCTTAATTTGCTGATAACCACTAGCTTCAAGTGCTTAAAAAGTCATTGGGCAAAGGAATTAATCACTGCACTCAATGCCCTGTGAGCATGAAGTTACACTCCATATCCTCGATGTACAATGTCAGTTATTATCTTTGAAAACAGAAAGCAAAGGTGAAGGCAACACTGAAAACAGCATTTAAAATAATCTTTATCAAATAATAATAATCCTTACAAAACGATAAACTGTCCAACATGTTTTGGCTAATGAAAAAACTGCTTTGGGGTAGAAGAATAATGCTTTGCCAGAAGAATCTTAGTCTTGTGCCTTTGTAAAAGTTTGTCACCAGTGGGAAAAAAGAAAGAAAGAAAAGAAAAGAGTTGGGCATGTTATTATTTTACATCAAGGATGGGCAACATGAGGCACTAGTCTGCTTGCAGGCTCGGTAAACCTTTTTGAAGCCCCAGTTCCCAGTATCCCCCAGTTTTCCCTCCTTTTTTAAAAACAAAATATTTATTCTTTATTAAAAATGTCCCTATCTCCTCTAGGAAATGTGTGAAAATTTAATCAATATATTTGTATATCTTGTGTATCCATGCTGGAGAGTCATGGTAGTGTTGAGTGCTAGACTAAGACTCTGGGAGACTGGGGCTTGTATCTCTGCTTAGCCATGGAAACCCACTGTGTGACCCTGGGCAAGTCACATTCTCTCAGCCTCAGAGGAAGGCAATGGCAAACCGCCTCTGACCAAAAATTGTCAAGGAAACTCCATGACAGGTTCACCTGTTTGGGCCAGCATGATATAGTGGTTTGGGTGTTGGACTATGACTGTGGAGACCAAGGTTTGAATCCTCACTCGGCCATAGAAATCCACTTGGTGACCTTCAGCAAGTCATACCCTTTCAGCCTCAAAGAAAGCCATAGCAAACCCCCTCTAACAAAACATGGTGATAGGGTCACCTTAGGTGAGAACCAGCATGGCGTAGTGGTTTGAGAGTTGGACTACAACTCTGGAAGTCCAGGGTTCGATTCCCTGTGCTGCTATGAAACCCATTGGGTGACCTTGGGCAAGTCATATGTTCTCAGCCTCTGGGAAAGGCAATGGCAAACTTCTGAACAAATCTTCCCAAGAAAACCCCTTGATAGGATTGCCTTAGGGTGGCCATAAATTAGAAATGACTTGAAGGCACCCAATAATAACAACAACAAAGGGTTGCTAAAAGTCAGAGAGTATATGAAGGCACACAACAACAGAAAATGAAGGCGCACAACAATAAAAAGTGCCCCAAAACCACCCCCCTAAAAAAACATTTAAAATGTTTTTGAGGGTCAGGGGACTTTGGTGGGCTTCTGGATGGTCCTATGGGCTGCACATAGAGGTCCCAAGAGCTTTATGTGGCCTGCAGGCACTAAACAGTGTGGGGAGTCATTTGAGTTTTTTAATTTAAAAAATCAGAAAATCGAGTATTCTTTCTTCTCTTTTGCCTGGGTTTTGGTGTTGCCTGTTGTTTTCCTTCAACAAACAAATGAACAACTGTTAATTTCCCTGCCCTGTTTATATATTTATCACAAGCAACCTTGCTAAACAAGTCATTCAGATACTTAAATGGGTTTGGGATCTAGAGAAAATCCACATCAGTAAATCTGTAAATTCAAATATCCCAGCACCCTCTCTTCCCATTATAAATACCCTAGGGCTCAAATAGCCCTGTTTGCAGCTGAGGGTAGGGTGAGCTAAAACTGCATTCATACACATATATTTGGGGAATGTGTCAATGTGAGCTAATTATTTATTGACTTCTTTTCAAAGCCAGTGTAGAATTAAAATTATCCATAGGAGATGCCTTCAGTCAATCAGTTAATTGAAACAAGTATATAATAGGTGGGACTTTGTACATTGTGTGCTTTGAATAAATCAATTTTGCATTAACAGAAAATGTAATTCTTTGCCAAGAACAACTCAGTTCTGCTGCATGTATAAATTATGCAAACTTGCTTATTTGGCATAATTCAGTCTGGTTCTGCTGCAAATGAAGTACTGTAAAACTATACATGACCATGGCATACTCTCCAACATTTCATAAATGCAAACCAACATCAAAGCATGGTCAAGATGGCAAAAGTTATTAATGAAGAAAAACAGACAAGCTAGGGGAGGCTACACCAGGTGACATCCTAAGGAGTGTGCTCCCCAACCATTTGCTTCTGGGCAGAAATGGTCTATAGCAGGGGTCGCCAATATTTGTTGCTGGGGGGCCAGGAGGGGGAGGGGAAATGGCGCAGCGGGTGGGTGGGTGTGCGCTTGCGCGTGCTTACGCACTTCCCCCCATGTGCATGTGCACGACACCTGCCGATGTGTGTATGCGTGCGCAAGCCCGGGCGCCATTTTGGAAGGCCCAATGGTGTACTCATGCCAGGGCCCAGGGGAGGCCGCAGCGTGCCTGCACCAGGCAAATTTGCCTGGCGCATGCGCACTGCGGCCTTGCTAGGGCCCAGGGAAGGCCCCAGTGTGCCTGCTCTGGGCAAATTCGCCCGGTGCAAGCGCACTGCGGCCTTCCAAAATGGCGCCTGCACTTGCGCGCAGTGCACAAGGCAGTGGTGGTGGTGGTGGGACTGACCACGGGCCGGTCCCAAGGCCTCCGCAGGCTGCACCCAGCCCACAGGCTGTAGGTTCCCGACCCCTAGTCTATAGCATCCACCTGCACCCCTTTAAAACACTGAAGAGGCAGTGTGAGTAGAGAGAGGCTCAGTAGGAAGAGAAATTTAAAAACAATTAAAATCATCTAATTAAAATAATATAAAATTAATGCAAAAACATTCAAACCATAACTAGAACCATAGAATCCTAGAGTTGGAAGAGACCCCAAGGACCACTCAATCCAATCCCATTCTGCCATGCAGGAACTTATAATCAAAGCACCCCCAACAGCTGGCCATCTAGCCTTTGTTTAAAAACCTCCAAAGAAGGAGAGTCCACCACTCTCCAAGGGAATGTGTTTCACTATCAAACAGCTCTTACAGTTAGGAAGTTCTTTCTAATGTTGAGGTGGAATTTCTTTCTTGTAGTTTGCATCCATTGTGCCGTGTCCTAGTCTCTGGAGCAGCAGAGCACACACACCATACAAAAATCACCCTGTCATGATCATATATTAAAAAGCCTGCCTAAATAAAATCGTATATGCTTGCTGACGAAAGGCAAGCAGGGAGGGGGCCAGTATAGCCTTCCGCAGAAGGGAGTTCCAAAAGGTGGGAGCAGCCACTGAGAAGGCTCTCTCTTGTGTCCTCACCAAATGATGGCCTGTGATGGCAGCGGGACCGAGAGAAAGCCTTCCCCTGAAGATCTTAGGGCTCTAGCAGGTTCATATGAAGAGATATAGGGGGGAAGCAGACGAGAGGCTCTGGGACGCCGTGGGACGGTGCGCCGCGGGACCGAGGCATCCTCACCGCGGCGCACCATCGGCACCGCTGAAAGGAGCGCTAAATCAGCACTCCTTTCACAAGTCAGTGAAAGTGCATCCCAAAAGCGTAGGGTGCACTTTCACTGACTTATCCGCCGCAGCGTGTGCGGATGCTGCGGTGGGAGGTTGCCCTCGGAGCGCTGGCCGTGCGGAGGTGGCGCAATTAGCCGTCTGCCGAGGCCCATAGTCTGAACCTAAGCCATGTAGGGCTTTATTGGTCATGACCAGCACTTTGAATTGTACCTGGAAACGAACAGGTAGTTAGTGAAGCTGTTTCAACAAGGGAGTTATATGCTCCCTATAACTGGCTCCAGTCAGCATTCTAGCTGTGTTGTTTTGAACTGGCTGAAGTTTCTGAACAATTTCCAAAAGAAATCCCATGTAGAGTGTGTTACAGTAGTCCAAAGGGATGTATTCAAGGCATGTGTCACCATACCCAGATCTGATGCCTTAAAGTTGTTTATGTCACAGCTATTGCCATTACATTCAGTGATATATGGGAATTATGGTTTATGAATAACATTCGTACAAAAACATTACTAAGGATATTATATAGTATGGAAGGAGGCCGGGGGGGGGGGATGACATCATGAGTTACCACACTGGGTGATGCCAACCCTAGTGATGCCACTGTCTGCAGTATTTTCCTTTTTGCCTGGCCCTCCTCTCCTTTCCTCTCCCCCTTACAGAGGCCTTGTCTTCAATGGCCAGGATACTCTATGGGCAGTCAAAGTATCCTGGTCTTCAGGTGGCCCTAACTTCCTCCATTACCTGGCCCTCTGTTCCTGCGCCAGGGTGGCTGTCTGCCACATGTCCTACTGAGCCACCTGGTGTGGGTCACTCACTTCTGAGATCAGAACGAAGCACCCAGTGATGATCACATGGCTGGGTGCCTCGTTCTGACATCAGAGCGAGCAATTGGCGACAGCAGCAAATACGTTGGGAGGCTCATTGGGATGCATGTGCAGACAACATGTGACTGGAGGGCTCCGGATCTTCCTGGAAGATCTGGAGTAAGAGGTAAAGTTTTCTTTTATTCATTAAGGTAAGGCTGGTTCTGGTACTGAAAGTGCTGGACATCATCTGGACTGTGCACCAAAACCAGAGTCTGCACCATGTGTTGTCTGAACAGGGCTCTGCCAGAAGGAGGGGATATGAACCATGCAGACAAGGATTCAGTTATTTGAATGCAGACTACTTTTGCACTTTAAACTCAGATTACATCAAAGGAAGAAAGAGAAACCAGAACTTTTAAATGTAGCTGATAGAATGGGATGACAGAGGATTTAATCAGGATTGTCCCTGCCAAATTGGGATAGTTGGAGCATATGCACGCAAAGCTGCTATCTCTTTTCACTGGAAATCCTGCTCTAAGTTCTGATATACATCCATAAGGACTTAAAACATGTCAAAATGAAGTTAGAAGTTCCAGGATGGTACATTTTGTGCTCATTACCAAGTTGCAGGCTTGAATAACTGTGGCTGAAAAATGACAGAATGTCCACAGGTTACTTAAAAGGAGTCAATGTTATATAATAATGCTGATTTAGGAAGTTTAACTAACTTGAATGAAGCAAGTGGGATAATCATTTTTCTAAAAGCTGTTCACTTTTCTGATGATATTTTAATGCATTTATGAGTGATGTAATTATTGTATTTCCAATTTAGTTTGCAGTACTAATGTGGCTGTTGACTTACGTTGGAGCTCTCTTCAATGGCCTAACTCTTCTGATAATGGGTAAAGTCAGTTATTTTTAAAGCTCTCTTGGCTGAATTTTTATGGCAATATAAAATGAAACAAAACATTGCAGTTCCATCAACTCCACTTAAATATGTTCTTCTAAAAGTGTCACTGTTCCTGCACTTTTGCTGACCAGCTATTCAACATCTTTGCTTTAAGACTTTCATATCCTAATACTTTCATATTTGCACTGACTGTGAGGTTCTTAGCTGGCAAACCCATAAATGTGATTAACATTCTTACCTACCTGAATCAAGTTTGTTTTTCATATTATGTACCATCTGCAGATTTTCATTGTTTAATTTACACTAAGCAAAAAATGACTATGCTACCACTCTCAAACAGTCTTTCTTCCCTGCCCCATCTCATTCAGGTAATAGTATTCATAGTCAGCCATGTCTGGAATATCAGTATGCAAAGGGATCTTTTATCACCTTTGAGACTAACTGTACAAAAGATGCTGTAACATAAGTTTTTAGTAGACCTGGTCCGTTTCCTCAGATGCATGGAATGAACTGATGCCCAGGAAGGACCTTTATAATCAGACTGTATGAATATTAGTTTCAAAACTACAAAGGAAGATTAGAAAAAGAAACAGAGCATATCCACAGACTCTAATAATCCATCAACAGTGGATTGGACAGAGACAATGCCTTCCTGGTACACTACACATATTATAACACTTGTTAACACCCCAGTCTCATGAGGATTCTGTTAGCCAATTTATTGTATCTCCTTTCTGGTTCCCAGCCTGCGCACACCACATTCCCAAAGCCCATTCCACCATTCATATGGTCATCCACCCACCCTGGCCTTAGGCAACATCTTTCCTCTTGCCTTTGTCC